ATATAAATACATATACATATGCACACAGTATATAATTGTTTGATTGTTATTATGATTATCTTACGATCTACTTTAAGTTTTCCAATAAAATAGCTTTGCTGCTGATATGGTATTAAATTAATTAATTAAATAAAGAGACAGCACATTCCCAAAGGAAGACACAACACCTTTGATAAGACCAAGGGACTTTAATAAAGGTCGATTCTTGTCTTCTCATTGACCATATGGTGCGGTAAGCCCATTTTTGTAGCACATGACCGGATGCACTTTCAGTAAACTACCGCCACTCCTAAAAGGCAAACGGTGATGGTGGAAGGCATCAATTATAAAAGTTCATCCTTCTGACTGACTGTAATCCTTGTGTACGGTTATTGCTTTTTCAAAGGGGAGCTGACAGTTTAGATTAGATTCTGATTGCATCTCTTATACAGTCAGCTTCATTTTGCTGTGTGATAAAAGCAGCATTGTTGCTGTTTTTTTTCTTTTACTGTATTTCCACAAAATCATGATGTGTAATTTTCATTTCCTATCAGGAGACCTATTGCTAGTATGAGCTTTTCTCTGCAACAGAAAAGACTGTGAATGTCTTTACTGAGAGCCTTCATGATTCTGAATTAATGCATTTCCAAGACCAAGGTTACTGTACTGAAAGTATTTTTGTAAAAATTAGAGTTTAGAATTTAGCAGACTGTGGCCTTTGTACATTTATAGTTATTTTTAACAGTGGAGCACATTTTTGTGGAACGTTTTTTTTTTTTTTTCTCCAAACAATAATTTAGTGAGATAAATGATGCAGTACGTGTGTTTTGATGTCTCAGACCAGGAGAGGTGCGGAGTCTTTGGGTGCAGCTTAGAAAAGACGAGCCTCACCTCCTGTCCAATTTTGAGGAGTTTCTTGCCAGGGTCACTTATCAGATCAAAGAAGCCAACCAGGAGAAGAAAGAGATGGAGACGGCCCTTAAAAGGTCAGATGTCAATTAAGATGTTAAAATCAAAATGCTGAAAAATGTGTTTGTGCTACCTTTAAATAAATGGGACTTGGTTTGATATTTTGTTATCTATTCAGTGGCATTCATACATTTTTGAGTGTCAGCCCACTATATGAATCCCATTTTGGTTGACTTGACAGTCACATAGTATTGTATCGTGACTCGTAATAAGACTCAGTGGACAGATGTGATGCAAGGAATTGGTAAGTTGGCTTCTGCATGGATTTATCACAGTTGAGCCTGACTGTATAAGTGGTAACAGACTTGGCTTTTGCTGTGCTCCAAAAGTGGATTTTCTGAGCATGAGCAAAGGTTAGATTTTGGTGCCGAAAGGTAGGTTTGCAGCATTCTGTTGATAATTAAAGAATATATTACAAGCAAAAAAAATAAAAAGAAAAAAATTCTAATGAAAACTGTAAATAATGTGTAATGCATGCTCACATTATTATGAGCATCACTCGTTTTTCTAATGTATTGATCCCTTTAATTTATTAAATACCACTTATTCTCTTTATGTATGTATTGAGGCTTGATGGTCATGTCTACTGTGCCTTTGTCACCTGATTTGTATCTAACTTTAATATTGTCTCCTAGCAAAAAAAAAAAAAAAAAGAAATGGGAATAAGGAAAC